GAGGACCGGGCTCCTCCGTCCCGCCCCCGGCGCCCGGCACCTCCCGCCTCGGCTCGCGGCCTTGCGGGAATCTGGCACCCACGAAGCGCCGAGCACCCAGGAATCCTCCCCTGCCCCCCGTTTTTCCCCCCTGCCCGGTGTTTGGCCGTCTACATGTACGCAGGCAGCTGGTTGCCACCAGAAGAGACAAGGTAATAAAATCAGAGCCTGGGCTAGACTCCCTTTGCCGCTGCAGCTGCTGTTCTGGTGCCAGGAGCCTTCTGCGCTTTGTACATCGGGCTGAAACTGTAAGGTCTTTATTTTGGCATACACTGCTTTTAAGTATCTTTATTAAATTCATTGTACTTCATGTTTTTGCTGTGAAAAAACATAAAGTCTTTAAGCAATTGCAAATGTCACCTTTCCTGCCAATGTTTGGACAACGGATCTGTTCTCTCTGCTGTCTCTGCTAATAATATACTCAACAAATCTTTGCACATAGCTTTCAATTCATATTCATCTCTGTTCTCATTAAACAGGGAATCTTCCATTTTGCCCCTAAAATGCCATTTTACCTTCCCTCATTTTCTTTCCTAAATCTTTCACTGCTTCATCTTTTTACCTTAAGCTCTTTGCGTTGGTTTTTTTGGTTTTTTTTTTTTTGGGGTTTTGGTCCTATATCTGCTGTGGGTTGTGATTAGTAATGCAGGGTGGAATCTGGCCAATGGGGTTTCCCTGCAGCCGGGTGGTGCGCGAGTCCTCCGGGAGCCGGCAGGGACCGCGGGATAACTAGCCTCTCGGCCAATTTTCGGAAAGGTACAGCGCTCTCGCTTTTGCAAGCCCGCGGCTTAGATGGCAGTTGCGATGTTAATGTTAAAAACCGGCATGCACTTGTGTTTTCTTTTTTTTTTCCAGCTGCCCGTTCCTGGACCAGCGTTTGCTTTTCTTTGGGGTGCGGCGATGAAAAGAGGCAGGGGGGGAGCGGCCGCTGGCGCGAGCGGTGCTTCCAAGGAGGAAGAGAGCACCCTCTGCCTTATTTTAGGAGGAAGGGCGGCGCGCTGCAGGGCGCTTTCAGCAGCGGGTGGGCCTCGCAGCGTAGGAACGAACGTGCACTTTACCGATGGCTACCCACAGACTTCAAAGCCCCGTCCCTTCGCTCCTCCTGAAATCCTGCAGCCCCGGGGACAGCTATCCTTCTGCACTTTATTTCCCCACTTAAATCCTGAAATGCTTCTGTTGGTTTGAGAGTTTTGAGAGGACCTTTGCCCGTCATTTAAAGTTCGGGCAAATTTGTCCAGAAAAAATTGATTTGAGACCGTGCAGGTAGGCTGAAACATTGAAGACCACAGACGGGAAAGCTTTTAGGAAGCCAAACGGGTGGGGAGAAAGCGCCTGTGCTTTTATTTTGCTTTTCTCACGGGGGCCTGGTCCCTGGGGCCCTGACGGTCGGGTCCGTCCAGCCGCCTGAGGGTGGAGATCGGCTTGTACAAAGAAACAGCCTGGGAGAGAAGCTCACTTCCACCACGGCGATACCTTAAAATGTCTATGTAACCGCTTGGCTGCTTCATGGGCACCCTACCAAGGTTAATTCATGAGTGTCGGTGAAACGTTTCAACAATATGCTAGTTTTTGCAACTAGACCGGAAGCGCTGGTGACCCTTCCGTTACCTGGGCTTATTGTTTAGTATTTCATCCTGACGGCGGATGAAAACTACCTCTGGGTTTCGAACGGCAATGCGTGAACTTCGACGCTGGAGAAAATTTTCTATGTAGGTCTAAAATTGTAGTGAGATCCTTCCAGCCTTTTTGGAAAGCAGAGTGAGGAATGAGCTATTTAAAGCAATTGGGCCCTTGCTTTGTAGGGTTTCTAATTGTACTTTTAGAGTTAAGAGCTTTTAAAACTTTAGGGCCAAGTTCTGCCGTTCTCTGCTGCCCAGCGCTGCCTTTTACTCCAGTGAGAATATTGCACAAGTGCAAATGGCATAATTGAGCCCTTAATCAGCGTTTCTTTTACTGCTGGGGATTGAATGCTCTTGTAAAGAGGCTCCATATACAATTGGAGCTATACTTATGGATAAATGGTGTAGAAATTATGAATATAGATGAAATACTTGATGTACAATTTTTGTTATCGTGCATAGAAAATACACGATATTTAGGGCAACGTTTTTGTCCTTTCATCTTTTCTGGCACAAATTCTACCTGTTCATCACTGCGATTAAAATTCTGTGGCAGGAATTATCTGTGCATGTGACTGTAGGTTGCTGAAGGTTGTTGTCTGAGAGCTAACGGTTGTTCAGTGAAATCCAGGCTTCCTACAGTAGCTGGCTGTGCAGAAAGAAGAGGTGGGGGAGCGAGGGAGGAGGAGGAGGAGGAGGAGGAGGAGGAAGGGACATGCCTTTGGGGTGGCCCGCGTCAAAGCTAGCGGCGGAGCAGCGCTGCCGGCGGCGATGGTGGCCAGCGATGCCGGCGTTACCTTGGGGATGAAGCTGATCTCCCAGCCGTCGAAAGGGAAGGAGAAGGGCTCCCACTGCACCTCGGCAGTCGTCTCGGTGATGGTCTTGAACTTCAGCCCTTGCGGCGTGGCGAGGTCTGGAAGGGAGCGCCGGCAGGGTGAGCGGCGAGGCCGTGGCGGGCGGCCCCCCGGCCCCCACCCCGCTCCCGGCCCCGCGGCCCTGCGATTCCCCGCTGGGATGCATCTTTGGGTGTGCTTTTCCGGCC